TAACGGGTCGTCCTTGTAGGTGTATGGATATTATCCTATCACTGACAGCACTGTACTTCGGGACAGATCTTGAAACATCCTTTGTGACGATGAATGCCACACCATTCCTCTTCAAACTGTCATTCCCGGCATAGTAGATCACATGGTTGTCTGATTCAAAATGGCCAAAACCAGTCCATTTCACTCACTAATGCCGAGGATATCAGTCTTTATGTGCTCCATTTCATTTTTGAAATGGAGCTCATATGCTGGTCTTTTATTTGGCTGAAAGCAACTGGAGTGAACTCATTTCCAAACCTGAAGCGCCATAGTCTCAGGGGTTTCACCAGCTCTATCAGAACAGCCAGCCACTCCTCAGAAGGAAGATGAAGCAATCTACTTCTGTAGTGATACTGCCTCCGAAACCCAAGGAGGGGTTGCTATAAGTCGGGTCCGATTTGACGGCATATAACAACAACAACAATCAGACCAGCAAACATTGTCTTTATTTTATTTTATTTTTAATATAATTTATTTTTGTTGTTGTTGAGAATATACATAGCAAAACATATATTAATTCAACAATTTCTACATGTACAATTCAGTGACATTGATTACATTCTTCAAGTTCTGCAACATTTTTTTTTTTTTAATTGTGATTTGGGTGAAAGTTTACAGAGCAAATTCACTTTCCATACAGCTCACATACACGTTGTTTCATGACATTGACTACAATATATCCCAATGCAACAGCTCCCCTCCTACTTCCTCCCAATAGTTACCGCTTCCCTGTGTCCATTCCTCCATGCACTCCTGCCCCTAAACTTTCTCCCTGTGCATAAACAGCCCTTATTTCTCCCATGATTGTTCTCTCCAAGAAGTGTATCTACTGCAGGTAAATGTTCAACTCATATGCCTGTCTTTTGTTTGGCTGGAAGCCAAAGGCATGGGTTCAATTCCAGACCTGAAGGGCAGCTTGGGGCCATAGTCTCAGTGGTTCCACCAGACTCTATCAGACCAGCAAACCTGGTCCCCCCCTTTTTCTTTTTCCCCAAATGTTTTTGAGTTTTGTTTCACATTGTTCTCCCTCTCTATCCAGGATCTCCTACAAAGATCCCCTTTGAGTGGTTGACAGTGGTAGTTGGACACCATCTAGTTCTTTTGGTCTCATGGTCATATAGGCTGAGGATGGTTTACCAGTCCCTCGGACTAATTGTTTCCATGGGTCTTTGGTTTTCTTCATTCTTCTTTGCTCTGGACAAGGAGAGACCCATCATTGCATCTAGATGGCTGCTTGCAAGCTTTTAAGATCCCAGTTGCTACCCACCAAACTAGGATGTGGAACGACGTTTTTGTGTAGTATGTTATGCCAATTGAACTTGATGTCCCCTGAGACCATGGTTCCAAGCCCACAGGTCCAACAACTCACTCCCTGCAGGTAGCTGGCTGTGGCCAAGAGGTGATTACTACCTTGTCCCTTGTCAGCTGGAAATTCTTACAGAACATACAAATACACTTGTAGAAACATTGTCTGCCAACCCTATACATGGTTATGGGCACACTCCCCCCTGCCTACACATATCTGATCATTCAGCATGTCCACCCATCTATCCACCCATAGATCAGTGTTTTCCGTCACTGACAATGCAGTACTGTATGTGCAAAAGGGTTCATCTTTGTTTTCTGTATCTCCCATATACCTCTCTATATCTTCCTCTTCCTCAGTGCCACTGTATTGATCACTCACATTTGGTTCATTACCCTTCACCCAAATCAATATTTGTCCCTACCTATCTAGCAGTGTTCTTTCCCCTCCCTTCCCACCCCTGATATTTGTATAAACCTTTCCTTGACTTTTTACAATAGCAGACTAATACAATATTTGTCCTTCTGTGGTTGACTTAATTCACTTAGCATAATATCCTCCAAGTTCATCCATGTTTTCTGGTGTTTTGCAGATTCTACCTTATTCTTTAGGGTTGCATAATATTCCATTGTGTGTATGTACCATAGTTTGGTTATTCATTCTTCTGTTGATGGGCACCTAGGTTGTTTCCCTCTTTTTGCTATTGTAAATAGTGCTGCGATGAACATAAAAGTGCATATATCTGTTCTTGTCCTGGCTCTCACTTGTTTAAGATATATACCTAATAATGGGATTGCTGGGTCAAATGGTATTTCTAATTCCAACTTTTTAAGGATTCACCATACTGCTTTCCACAATGGTTGTACCATTTTACAGTCCCACCAGCAGTGTATGAGAGTCCCAATCTCTCCACAACCTCGCCAGCATTTGTTATTTTCTGTCTTGTTGAACTTTGCTATTAGTGCTAGAGCAAGATGGTATTCTCATTGTTGTTTTGATTTGCATCTCTCTAATGGCTAATGAGGAGCTCTAGTAGCATAGTGCCTAAGGAACTTGACTGCTAACCAGAAGGCTGGTGGTTCAAACCCACCAGCCACTCCTCGGAAGGAAGGTTGGGCAATCTACTTCCATAGTGATACTGCCTCAGAAACCCAAGGAGGGGTCGCTATGAGTCAGGTCTGACTCAACGGCACATAACAGCAACAATAACAATGGCTAATGATCATGAACATTTCTTCATGTGTTTGTTGGCCATCTGAATATCTTCTTTGGTGAAGTGTCTATTCATGTCATCTGCCCATTTTTTAATTGGATTGTTTGTCATTTTGTTGTTGAAGTGTTAGGGTTTTGTATAAATTTTAGAGATAAACCTCTTGTCAGATATGTCATTGCCAAATATTTTTTCCCAATCTGTAGATTCTCTTTTTACTCTTTTAAAGAAGCCTTTTGAAGCACATAAAAATTTAATTTTTAAAAGGTCCCATTCATCTATTTTATCTTCTGCTGTGTGTGTATTCTGAGTTATGCTTGATAGTCTATTTGTGCCATATATACGCACTGCCGTCGAGTCAGATCTGACTCAGAAAGAGCTCTCCTTGGGTTTCTGAGGTGGTATCACTACTGAAGTAAGTTGCCCAATCTTCCTTCCGAGGCATGGCTGGTGGGTTTGAACTACCAGCCTTCTGGTTAGCAGTCAAATGTCTTAGGCACTATGCCATGCCATACATTAGGGTCTGTAAATTTCCCCAATTTTTTCCTTGAGGAACTTTATAGTTTTAGGTTTCACATTTAAGTCTTTGATACATCTTAAAGAATTACTTTTAATCCCATAAGTATATATGTGTATCTACAATATATGTGTATATATAATATGTGTGTATATATTTCTCCATATATACTTATGTATACATTTATGTAAAGAGATACATGTATGTCTACACACACACATGTTATCTTAAAAATGGATGGCAAAATATAAGTAGTTTCCTCCAGGAGATAAGCTGATGGCAGTATAATGGGTGATACCACTTCTCATTTCATACACCCCAGACAGAAGGAAGAAAAAGATGACTATAATTTGCAGTGTTTAGCATGTTCAGTTGTCTACGCTTTGGAGATAACCTGAGGCTAATGGCTCCAGTGCCATAGCACCAAATCACCATCTCACTTATATTTAGCATAAGACAATGTAGTAGAAACTAGAAAAAGAATAAGATCTGGTGATGCCTTCAAGGTTGTTGTAATACTCAGAACACATGATGATTAGTAATATGAAAACATGTATTAATACTTGAACCAAGTTGAAGTAATAGAAACATTTCAAATATTTACTTATCGATCATGGTGACAACAAAGTAGAGGCATGAATTCTAACACTGGATGTTCATTCCTCCCCATTGCCCATCCTCTTGATATTCCCCCCTGAGGCTGGCCTACTTCTTGACATACTTTTCCTTTGGTTTCAAATCCAAAACTAGAATAATTCTAGATGACACTCAGTTCAAAGAGATTTTCAGCCCTCTTCTCCTCCTTTGTCCCTTTCTGTATTTTCCTAAAGACCAGCATAGCCACTGTAAAGACTTATCTTTTTTTTTTCTTTCATTTTTCACTTCCACTATCTCCAAAAGAAGAAAAGTTCAAAGAAGGACCCAGTAAATAATAAGTTTTTTTCTTTAGCATGCACATAGGAGAAATGGATTTGAATTGGCACACACTAATCATTATTGCTCTGCTTCATACTGATAACATAGTAAAAATTTAGTTGGATAAATATTAAGGCATATGGTGGCCAACACAACTCTTGCAGACTGTGGAGAGTAGGATGTAAATTTATGCTGTGAAACACAGGAAACTCCTTAATGGATGTTGGATTATCACTAGATCTTGAAGGAACAGAGAGATGTGGAAAAGAGAGTTCAGAGAAAGGCATCCCTGGTACTTGGAAGGAGGTGAACGATGCCCCAGTTTAGGGGATTTGCAGATGACAGTGCAGAGGCAATCGGACGATCTTCCCTTCTTCACACAGGGATGAAGCAGAGTTGATAGGAGGGGGGCACAGAAATAAGCCCATTGTTAACTGGGGTGATGTCGATGTCCTTTGGGTCAATCAGAGGCTTCAAGGTAAATTTCTGTAAAATGTTTGTCAGGAATAAAAACAGCTCCATGCGGGCCAGGCCCTCTCCCACACAAACACGTTTTCCTGAAAACAGCAAACACAGAGGAGAGATTCTCTTGGAACATTGTGTTTCTGAAGAGGCACACAGAGAATACACATTAGCTATTTGATGAATGGAGGGAGGGATGGATGGAAGGCAGGATGGGTGGAAGGACAAATGGATAGAAAGATGGACAGAAGAATGGACATGCTTGCTATCCACCTAATACCTTATCTGAATAAGCCCCATTCATTCAACAAATATTTATTGAGTATCATCTTTTGAGGGTCAATGAAAATGAGAACACCTTTAATAAGATGAATTGACACAATAGCCTTGAGAATGGGCTCAAAGACACTAAAACCATGGAGACGAGCAAGACCAGCAACATTTCATTCTGTTAAACATCACCATGAGTTGGAGCTGACTCCATATCAATTAACAACAATAGCAATCATCTTTATGCATGCACTTCATTAAGTTTTCCCAAGTTAGAACTGCTGTTTTGTTATTCATTTCAACTTTTCATCAGTACTTTTCTAGAAACACAACCACATCACTTTCCCGAGGGGATCAAGGAGAGAAAGACTGAGAGTGGGCGGCTCATTTTCTCTGTTTCCCTTTTTCTCTCTGCCACAAAATTCAGCCATTTTTTTTCCCCTTATGTACTCTGGAAAGGGCAAGTCTCAACATGTCACTCTCACACTTTAAAACTCTAAATGGATCCCTGTGTCTGTCCTATAGGTTAAGGCCCAAATTATTTGACCTAGACCTTCACATTCTCTTCCAGTCTGACATTTCATACTTTTATTGAACTCTTCACCCTCTTTACTCTCAGCTGTACTCATACCCATTCTTAGCAATCTCAGTCACAACATGTAGTTTCAAGGTGTATCTCATGCTTTTCCTTTTGACTAATGTGCACTTTTCTTATGCTTCCTTCAGGACTTACGTAAAATATCATTTCCTCTTTAAGTTTTTGAGATCCTCCTGAGGGAGTAGTCACTAGATTTTTTCAGCATTATATTCATACTTCCACTGAGGCATGATCACCTTGAATCATACTTCTGTATTTACTTTTCTACCTGCATGAAATGTGAGTTCCTAGAAGGGAGGAACCAGTCTTTGCCATCTTTGTATCCACATGCCAGGTTCAAGCAAGCCCCAAAGGCCATAGAATAAAGGAAAATGACACCTTGACCAGCAGCTCAGCCTGCACACTGCAGGGTATAGGTAAATGTCTTGCTTTTGTCTCTATGGTCCATTACCTCTGTGAAAATGCCTGTTCTCTCTTCTGTCCTAGCTCCCAGACCCTTGTTAAGCAGTTCATACATCATTACTTCTATTAGAATATTGCTTGTTGCATTTTATTCCTCACTGTGGGGTATAACAGAGCAAGAAGCAGACAGCTTTCTTTTCTTGGTCCTAAATAGTCTATGCTTCTCTCCCACACATTAGTTTTACTCTATAGCGATTTATTTATCCATCGGCTTCCCTAACTGGATTGTGAGTCCCTGATTGCCCAGTCTGTTTGTGGATATTTCTATCCACAGAGTTCTGGCCGGGGAGTGGGGGGTGGGTGAGTGACCCACAGCAGAAAGTACTCAGTAAACTTGTGGCGTTAGATACTGTTCTCATTTAGTTGAAGAAAGTCTAAATGAGTTTCACCTCATGGTTGTTGGGTGGCATCAAGTCAGTTCTGACCCTTAGTAACCCTATGTATAACAGATCAAAATACTGCCAAGACCTGTGCCATCCTCACAATTTTTGCTCTTTTAAGCCCATTGTTGCAACCACTGTGTCTTTCCATCTTGTTGAGGGTCTTCCTCTTGTTCCCTGACCCTCTGCTTTACCAAGCATGATGTCCTTCTCCAGACCCGTGTCCCTCCTGATTAAAAAAAAACAACTAGGAGCTGTGGTAGCATAGTGCCTAAGGCATTTGACTGCTAACCAGAAGGCTGGTGGTTCAA